TTGCTGTGAGCTAGGCCGAAGCCACGGCACTCCAGCCCAGGCAACAGAGTGAGACTTTGTCTCAAAAAAAAAAAAGAATTCCACATACTTAATAATTGCTAAACACTATAACTTCTATTAAGGAGGAGGAGTGTCAGGAGCTTGAGGCTGCAGTGAGCTATGATGACGCAACTGCACTCTAGTCTGGGTGACAGAACAAGATTCTGTCTCTTTAGAAAAAAAAAGGGAGTGAGAATGTCAAAGGAATGTCAAAGAATCAGACTGGTTATTTAGAGTTGGCAGTTGTTATAAATCTGTAGTAGACTAATGGTAAACGATGTTATACATACATCGTAACATTAGATACAGTCATGCATCACAAAACAACAGGGATACGTTCTGAGAAATGCGTTGTTATTAGGTGTTGTTAATAGGTGATTTCTCACTGTGCGGACATGATAGAGTGCACTTACATAAACCTCAGTGGTATAGCCTACTACACACCGAGGCTATAGGGTAGCCTACTGCTCCTAGGCTACAAACCTGCAAAACATATTACTGTACTGAATACAACACGCAACTGTAACACAATGGTAGTGTCTGTGTGTCTAAACAGAAAAGGTACAGTAAAAATACAGTATTATAATCTTATGGAACCACCATCATATATATGCCATCCATCACTGTTGGAAATATTGTTACGCGGTGCATAAAATTCTGATATACACCAAGTGGTGTTTCTTAAATTGAGGTCCAAGAAGTCTAAAGTTCAAGAAACCCTGATGTAAGTTATTCATCAGGAGAATTGTAGGGTAAAAGGTATTTCTAACTTTGCCAGTGACACTCCAAATGGAACCATGATCAACGTGGCAACCACAGTTGAACAAGTATTGGAAACTATTAGAATACATTTCAGAACATGGAGTTAAAGGTAAAGAGGAAATGATCTATAAAAGTAATATCACTAAAAATATGAAGAAGTCCCTAGGTTGTGCTCAGCTCAGAAGAGTCTTAGCCAGGTGGTCTTAGAATGGCCTAGTCGCCTAGAATTTAGACTTTCTCAATA